AATTGCCCTGTAGATTTTCCCAGGTTCTAGTCTTTATGGATGCCAACTGCCACATCTTTCTCCAGTATAGCAGTTATAAGTTCAAACCACAGATCTTTTGGTTGCTAGCTGAGTGCTTTATTATTCACCCTAGTACTGTAGAGGACAGTTATTAACTTGTGCACGGTTCTAACTGGACTGATTTTAGTGATGAAATAATTGTTGTAGCTCTCAACTTTCTCCTTCCCCCACTAAAGTGTTTGGGATTTTATAGTTTTTTTCTGTACTGAACCCAGAGTCTGTAAAAGTTCCAATTGTTTTTATAAAAGTAGTCTGTCAGCAGTCACTTGTGGGAACAATGAGGCTGAGTCTATAGGCCCTTGTTTTCTTTTTGCACAGATATTGTATAATGAAATTGCTTAGAAACTGGAGACGGCACATTTTTCACTAATAAGAAGATTGTAACATTTGATGAGGTTTCTTAAAAAGCATAGATAAATTGTTCTTTAAATGTATCAAAATCTGATGAAGTTGACTAAATATGATCTATCTCTATGTAAGATCACTGAATAGGTCAAGGAAAAGCCTTATTGTTCAGTGGCTGGATGTGAGATAAAATTGTTAACTTCCTGACCAGGATGAAAGAATTAAAGAATGAATGACTGGCCCCCTTTAGATCTAAGGCAGTTTACCTCAACTGACCTAATGACCCAAAATGTATCATTCTGTTTTATGAGATTGAAATGTAAAACACTAAATCATTGATCTTTTAAAAATTTAATTCCTTTGAAAGGTGCTGAAAATTAAATAGTTTTAAAGAATATACGTTTGATTTTAAAAATAGAAAATAGCTAATTCTTTGTTATTACTGAAATACTGCAGAAATTATAGTACTTCATTAGTTTGTACTTGACTACTAAATTTTGTAATAGAATGGAACATCGATAGAGTACTGCCTAAAGTTCAAGCAGGATTTAGAAGAGGCCATGACAACAGGGGTATCATTACTGATGTCAGATGGATCCTGCCTGAAACTAAAGAATACCAGAAGAATGTCTATTTATGCTTTATGGACTATTCAAATATGTTTGACTGTGTAAATCATAGCAAGTTATAGTTAACATTGAGAAGAATGAGAATCCCAGAGTCTTAGCTGTGCTCATGCAAAACCTATACTTTCACCAGGAGGATGTTGTACATATAGGAATATGGTTTAAAATTAAGAAAGTGATGTGTCAGGGTTATATTCCCTCTCAATACGCATTCAGTCTGTATGCTGAGCAAACCATTCGAGAAGCTGTATTAGGATTGGAGGGAGACTCATTAGTAACCTGCATTATGCAGACGACACAAGCTTGCTTGTTGAAAGTGAGGAAGACTTGAAGCACTTGCTGCAGAAGATCAAAGAATACAACCTCCAATATGGATTGCATCTCAATGTTAAGGAAACAAAGATTCTTCCCACTGGACTGATAGGTAACATTATGATAGATGGAGAAATGATTGGAACTGTCAACAATTTCACCTCACTTGGATCTACAATTAACACCCTTAGTACCAGCAGTCAGAAAATCAGATGTATTCGACTGAGAAAATCTGTAGTTGAGAACTTCTCCAAATCATTGAGGAACAGTGATATTATTTTGAGTACTAAGGTGCTTATGATTCAGACAATGGTCTTTCTGAGCACTTTCTTTGCATCTGAGAGCTGGACAAAGAATAAAGATGATGGAAAAACATTGATGCCTTTGAGCTGTCCTATTGGAGAAAAATATGAAATATTCCATGGACTGCCAAAATAACAAACAACTAAGTCTTGGAGAGGGTGCAGAGTGTTCTTCAGAGGCAGATTATGAGGCTTTGCCTCACATAATTTGGGCATGTTACTAGGTGAGGTTGTTTCTTGGAGAGGGTCATGATGCTTGGAAAGGTATGAGGTCAGCAAAGGAGAGGAAGATTGACACAGTACCTGCTGCAATTAATTGACACAGTGCCTGCTGCAGTGAGCTCTTGTATGTCAGCAAGTGTGAGGATGATATAGACAGGACAAGAGTCAAACCTGTTTTTCTCATGATTGGTATGAGTTGTACTTGACAGCATCTAACAACAACTATTCTATTGTTAAGTACCATTGAGTTGAGCATGACTCATAGAAACCCTATGAACAAAGATCTGAACCCTATTCTATAACTATCATCCTTTCTCTAATGTTCATAGAGTTTTTAATGGCATGTTGTTTAGGAAGTGGATTCCAATCCTGCTTCCAAGGCTGTCTTAATCTGGGAGCTCCATCAAACACTGTTCACCATGGGTAATCTTTATGGCATTTGACAAACCAGTGGCACAACATTCAGCATCACAGCAACCCAAAGTTACCTTAACACAGCAAACTGACCAATCAGTGTTGTACCATTTAGGAGAATGTTCTTCCCAAACAAAATTAACACTAGGCCCAATGGCCCAGCCATTAAATACAAAAGCCTGCCCACAAAGTCCTGATTGGCTTATACAAGAGGCTCCCAGGCCACAGCTGATTATTAGTTAAGACCAGTAAATCCAATTAGCTCACACATAATTGTGAATGAAATAAAAACCATCAAACAGTTTGTGTCTGACTTTCCACTAAAACAATAGAACTTACCCCCCCGAACCCAAATACTTCCTTCCCACATGAGCCCCCTACATGTTAAATTATACAATGTAGTAAAACTATGACTTTTGCTGAAACTTCTTTTTCACTTTCATTGCCTATAGTGAGCTAAAGATTGTTAAAGATGTACAGACTCACACAATTGTGATTAATTCCCATACATTATTAATCTTTGCCTTTCTATGCTAATGTTATACTTTATTTATAAGGAGCTGTATAAATGCTTAGATTTGGTTTTCAAGAATCCCCTTTTCCCTGTTTTCATTATCCAGGTTTTATCTAAAAGTCACCACCCTTTTCTTTACTTATAAACCAGAGAAGTCAGTCAAAATTGCTCATAGATCATGGCACAATTCTGCTTATTATCTTCCAATAGATTAAGGGTTATCTTCTGGGAAAAAAGTTAAATGTTAAGCTCAGTGAGGACATAAAAAGATAGAAGGATAATATGCATAAGAACAATGGTACTTAACTATATATGATGAATTGTATGTGAATGATTGGGTAAAACAAAGTATGTGAGGGGAGGAGAGGTACAAACTCAACAGAACAAAATTCATAAAGTAGATGTACAAAGGATGATGTATAGGAATGATTATATGTAAACTAATAAAAAATTTTAAAAAAGAAAAACGTTCATTTTCTAACTAGTTCTCAGATATTTTCGGGGTCCTCTAATAAATGGAGTTTTGTTATTTCCTCGTACTTTCCCCTTGAAGATTCTTAGCTTCCTGTGACCTGCAATTACTCTGTTCTTCATTTCCTTTTTGTTTACCTAAAATGTCAACTTCCTGTGAGTTTTTCTTTAATCATCTTTTTCAAAAACTACCCTATCACTGCATGCACATCTTCTTGTTTTTATATTTCTCTATAGTAACTCTGTCTACTTGACATGCTAACCTTTGTGTAATGCCCTTCTCCCTCTATTATAATGTGAGATTCATAAAGGGAATCATTTCTATTTGTATTATTTATTTCTATAAATCTGAAACTATCACTGTGCTTAGTAAATATTTCCTAAAGCAAAGGATAGAAGTAAACAACATGTTCTTTGAAGCTAGTGTATGTATATATTTATATATATACATAATTTAGTAACTCATATACTTTGGAAAGAAATATATTGCCATTTACATCAACATAATATTTTATTAAAATGTTCACATATTTATTTAAAATATTTTATATAAATGTATTTGTAAAATATATTCTATATTGGTTTGCATAAAAATTCATACACATTGTTATTCACATTCTGTTTCATGCAGTCACTTCCATACATTATGTTTTATAAAATTAGTCATCAATGACCTATATCCACCATTACCCCATCTTTTCAAGTTCTTCCTCAGTACTTCCCATTTCCTTAACCACCTGCCTCCATCCACCAAATTGTGCAACTCTATTATTTCCTTCTGTACTCATCTACTTTTGAGAATTTTTTCATTTTAGCTTATATCCCAATCTTTCCACTCATATGAAATCCGTTTAACTTTTAAGGTCTGTATTTCAGACAGAGAGATAAATATTAAATGTGTACTACAAAGTAACATGTAATATATTTAGGATTTTATGTTATACATAGTACTAAAACAAGTGACTTTTATTGTAATTTTTTAGCCAAAATTACACAATTCCCAGTGCATAATTTTTTTGCTTGTTTTTATTTCTTAATTTTTCCATGGAAAATATTTAATGTTATATGGCTCTCTGTGGGTCTGTGTATGTATACATGTATAGATAACAAGTTATAACTATTTTTCTGTAAGCTACCTTGTGTAAATTTTTATGTTCTAGATTTCCTAGTTCTTTCTTAAGTGTAATTTTATTTTTGGGTTGTGATTTTAACAAAAGTTTACAGAAAAGTTAGATTTTTCTTCATTCAGTGTTGCACATTTTCCTCCCCACCACCCCTGCTCACTATAAAAAAAAAGAAAATATTCATTCATTGTTGCATGATTTCCTAGTCTAATTTAAGACTTCTATAGTAGATTAACTTTTAAAAAGAAACTTATGTGTAATTCATCTGTATTTTGGAATTTTAAAATATTCATTGTAGGTTTTTCTTAAGAAATGCAGATTTCATGAGAATAAACCATTTTGCAACCTGGTAAATTGGTAAATGGAGGTCTCTCTGTTCTGTTTGGAAGATTATAACAAACTACGTTGCAGCTGTTGTTAGAATGTAGAGTATCTTTTATGCTGTTTACGTGGTTAATATGTATTTCCAGAGAAAAATTGACAGTCATTATTTTAAAATTTTTTTATTTTTTAAATTAAAAAAAATTTTTTTTAAATTCTCTATTTGTAAGGAGTAGATGAGTCTTAATTAGGTGACGTATGTATGGATTGCTTCTAATGTTTTTTTCAGAGGGATGTTTCTGGATACCATTCTCCCCTCCCGTGATGACAATGGCATACGTCCGGCAATTGGTCAGCGGACCCGCTTAAGCAAAGGAGATATTGCACAGGCAAGAAAGCTGTATAGATGTCCAGGTACTGCAGAACGTAGTTTGGCATGATTGTACTTGTTATCTTATTTATCTTTCTCTATGTTGACAAGTGACTTATACGGTTCAAAGTCAGTAATCGTAAAATGAAATGAGAGAGAACTCTGGAATACCTTGTTGCTATCATCTATAATAAAACCTGTGAGAGTCAGAACTTAATGAGACTCTTATTTTTTCAGATTGTGCAAGTTTTTTACCCCAGGTAAGATTTAGTCTTACCACTTTTCTGTTCCTCTCTGTTAGTGAAAAATAATATTTTTTTTCCTTTTCTTTGTCAGATTTCAACTTTGTATAGGTTTCAGTTTTCCTAAGTTTACTATATAAACAAATACTAGAAATCAAAATTAGTATAGTGTACATTATTACATTTTAATATGTTGTTGTTGTGTGCCGGCGAGTCGCTTGTGACTCATAACGACCCTATGTACAACAGCCTTAAACTCTGCTCTGTCCTCTGCCAGTCTCACTGTCTTCGACACACCCATCCCGATTACCTCAGTCACCGAATCAATCCACCTCCTAGAGGGACTTACCCTCCTGTGCCTGCCCTCCACCCTCCCAAGCATGATGTCCTTCTCCAAGGACTGGTCTCTCATTACAACATGACCAAAGTATGTCAGACAAAGCCTCAGAATCCTTGCCTCCAAGGAGCAGCCTGGCTTAACGCTCTCTAGGATGAATCTGTTTGTTTTCTTAGCAGTCAATGGTACTCTCAATACTCTTCTCCAACACCAAATCTCAAAGGCATCAATTCTCCTATCCTCCCTAGTCATTGTCCAACTCTCTGATGCATAACAAATGATTGCAAAGACCATGGCCTGTATTAAACACACCTTAGTTTCCAGAGAGACACCATTGCTCTTCAGTACTTTAGAGAGGTGCCTAACAGGAGACTTTCCCATGGCAATACGTCTTTTAATTTCCTGGCTGCTGGTGCCAAAAGTGTTGATTGTGGAGGCAAGTGGGCTAAAGCTGTGAATAGTCTCAATCTCTTCACCATCCATCCTGATGCTGCCAGTTGGCCCAGTGGTGAGAATCTTTGTCTTCTTGACATTGAGCCTCTATCCATATTGAAGGCTGCAGTCCTTGACCCTCTGCAGCAAGCGCTTCAGGTCCTCCTCAGTTGCAGCAAGCGCTTCAGGTCCTCCTCAGTTTCAGCAAGCAGGGTTGTGCTATCCACATAACACATATTGTTGATAGATCTTTCACCAATCCTAGAGCCCAGTCTCCCAGATAATCTGTTCAACATACAGGTTGAGAAGGTATGGAGACAGAACACATCCCTGGCGTAAGCTCTTGCCAATTTTGAACCATATGGTGTTTCCTTGCTCTGTTCTGACAACAGCCTCTTTGTCCAAGTACAGGTTTCGCATTAGCACGATCAAGTGTTCTGGGATACCCATTCTTCTCAGAGTCAGCCACAGTTTGTTATGATGCAAATAGTCAAATGCATTTGCATAATCAGTGAAACACAGATATTTCTCTGGTACTGCCTGCTTTCAGACAGGATCCATATAACATTTTATTATAGTTAGCAAAATAGTGTATTTCAGAGTTGTTTGACAGTTATTAATAATTAATTGTTGTATGAATTCATATTTTAATGTAGCGTTTCCTTGCAAATAGAAAATAAATGCTTATCATTTAAGTGGCAGACTCCATAGGGAGTTGCACTGCCATTCAAAACATGGTTTCTCCCTGTCTGCTTGAATCTGCCATTGTCTCCATGGGAGAAAGATCAAAAATCTTCTCCTGTCTGATTTAACCTCTTAAAATCTTGCCAAAGCTTCAACTATGAGTCAGTTCCTACCTGTTAGCAATGAAGATTTTATTAGATCTTTAAAATTTCTGGTGGACTAGGCTATAATGTAGTCTTCAATTAAGATTTACAGCCTGAGAAATTAATGGAAGATTACTTTGAGATGGAATTAAATCATTGTCAGTAAGAGCTGAATATTAGTATTTTAGTAGAGTTGTACTTCAGTATCAAAAGTACTGAAGAAGTTCAATTTACACTGACTAACTGGCAAAAAATAAGCCTCAAGGAATTGATGAAATTCCTGTTGAGATCTTTCAACAAAAAAATGCAGCTCTGGGTAGGTTCACAATTTTTGTGTAAAAAAAAATAAAAAAGATAACTATTATATAAACTCACTGGAGGAGATAGAAGTTTATTCCCATTCCAAAATAAAATGGTCTAAAAATGTACAATATTTTTGAAATGTATCATTCACAATCTATGCATGTAGAAGCTTGCTGAAGATTATTTTTAAATGGCTGAAACAGAACATCAGCAGTAAATTACCAGATATTCAAGCTGGATTTGGAAAAGGCTATGACACAAGGGATATCATTGCTGCTGGCAGATGGATCTTGGCTGAAGGAGAATGCCAGGCAGTTGTTTACTTGTGTTTTATTCCCTCTGTAAAGGCATTTGGCTATACAGATCCTAACAAATTATAGATAATCTTGAGAAGACTTGGAGTTTCAGAATACTTAATTTTTATTATTTCTATGTGTGTACTGTCAAACCAGATCTGACTGGTACAGGAGGAGATTGCCCTACCTTCTCCAGCAGAGCATCTGGTGGATTCGAACCACATGTCTCTGGGATAACAATGAAGATTTTTGCCACTAGGCCACCAGAGCACTCAAGAATACTTATTCTCATGCAAGATCTTTACCTAGAATGAGTAGTCGTCCAAACAGAACAAGGCACAAATTATGGTTTAAAATCAGGAAGGATGTTTATCAATGTTGTATACTTTCACCACACCTATTCACGCTTTATGCAGAGAAAATAATTCAGGAAGCTGGATTATGTGAGGAAGCATATGGCACCAAAATTTGAGGACATCTTATAAAAAAATCTACATTATGAAACTGACACAACTTAGCCTGCAGAAAGGAACTAGTATTGGATATTCAATTGTGAAATTAGAACTTTGAAAAAAAAAAAAAGACTTTTCTATCCATTATCTTAGGGAGCTGTGGTGGGCTAGTGGTAAGAAACGGTGCTGCAAAACCAAAGGTGTGTGGTTTGAACCCACTAGCTGCTTTGAGGGAGAAGAATAGACAGTCTCCTCCTGTGCAATTTACTGTCTATAAAATCCTGCTGGAGGGTCAGATGTGGGTTAGTTTTGACTAGACGGTACACAACAATATCCATAATCTTAGCCCTTCTATCCCTGGATGATTGAAGAAATTAGAGGGTTATTTATGTTGCTGAACTGAACCTACACTTACATTGTGTGATATCCTTTCCTCCCCCATTTCAAGCCTGTTTCATTAGTAAATGCCGCAACTATGAGTCAGTTTGCAATGAACATTGAACCCAGTGATTATGTTCAGTGGCTACAGCATTGTGGAAGATCATATCTGCCAAGGAATTGGTTTTATAAACTGAATGTTTTGATGAGGACAGTTCCCCCTTGTAGAGTTAGTAGTGGTCAGACTCAGACTTATACACATTGGCCTTGCTCTTTTTCATACCATGTTGTTGTTGTTGTTATGTGCCATCGAGTTACTTGCGACTCATAGCGACCCTATGTACAACAGCCCTAAACTCTGCTCTGTCCTCTGCCAATCGCACTGTCTCTTGACACTCCCATCCCGATTAACCCAGTCACTGAATCAATCCACCTCATAGAGGGCCTTCCCCTCCTGCGCTGTCCCTCCCCCCTCCCAAGCATGATGTCCTTCTCCAAGGACCGGTCTCTCCTTACAACATGTCCAAAGTATGTTAGATGGAGCCTCAGAATCCTTGCCTCCAAGGAGCCACCTGGTTTAACCCTTTCCAGGATGAATCTGTTTGTTTTCCTAGCAGTCCATGGTACTCTCAATACTCTTCTCCAGCACCACAGCCCAAAGACATTAATTCTCCTTCTATCCTCCTTGGTCATTGTTCAGCTCTCTGATGCATAACAAGTGATTGCAGAAACCGTGGCCTGTATCAGATGCACCTTAGTTTCCAGAGAGACACCATTGCTCTTCAGTACTTTGGAGAGGTCCCTAACAACACACTTTCCGATGGCAATATGCCTTTTAATTTTCTGGCTACTGGTGGCAAGAGGGTTGACTGTAGAGCCAAGTGGACTAAAGCTGTGAACAATCTCAATCTCTTCACCATCCATCCTGATGCTGCCAATTGGTCCATACCAATGGTTCATACCATAGACTACTAAAAAAACAAACAAATCTGTCCAGAGGAAGCCCAGTCAGAGTGCTCTGTAGAGGTGAAGATGGTAAGACTTCATGTCACATGTCCTGGGCATGTGATGAGGAGGGGCCTGTCCTTTGAAGGTGGTAGTATGCTGGGAACAGTAGATGGTATGCAAAAGAAAGAAACACATAAATTGAGAGTAATTGAAACAGTGACTTCAACAGTGGACTTGAGTTGGTGTGGATTGTAGCAATAGCCCTACTTAGGGCAATTTATCTATTGTTCATAATGTCGCTATAAGTCATAATTGACTTGATGACATCTAAAAGCAATAGTAGTGCAATATTATCCAAGCTGCAAAACGATACTAGGTAGTAATCCCTTTGGAGGAGAGGATGGAATCTCATATTTAACTAAGGAATTAAAACAATTAGAATAATTGTGAAATTTTAGAAACTATATGTAATGTTTTCTTCAAATTGAATGTAAGTTTAGTGTCTTAATGACATTCTATAAAATATCCCCTTGGTCATTCAAAAAATGATGTTAGAGAGTTTACATGCTATGGTTATTTACCATGAAAATGTCTTACTTTTTAAAGCGGTGTAAAGGGCAAATTGTACTATAATTGTTTAGAAGGTGCTTAGAGTAATGGAGAATCAACCACAAACAAATACAGTAACAATTCTCTTACACACATACGTACAAACATGCCTTTATTTCTCAGTAGAATGACTAGAATTTTTTGTAATCATCAGTTTGACATTTATCAACTTTTTCACCAGATACGTAAATGGTTGGACGTTGTGTGCTTTTGATTCAGA